AGGTTTTGTTTCTAGGCAGCTCTGAATGGAGCCAGGAGTTCAAAAGATTTAACATGATGATTAAACTGATTTTATTATAAGAGAGGGCCAGCTCTGAGTACAGTCTGAGCCAAAAGTACTGACAGGAAACTGCATGCTTTTGCAGAGCATATGAGGTGCAGGCAGAAAGTGAAACTAAGCAGAGTGTTTGTTCGAAACTTAAAGTGTGCGTGATGTCTAGAGGAAGTATATAAATAATCAGGCTACCTGCTGCTGCTTCAGACTTGAGCTGGCGTTTCTGTGTGTGCTCAGTCTCCATATTAAGGAATATGTAAAATTAAAGATAATTTTTTGAGTTAGACTACTTTGAGCTGCCGCCAAAAGTATGTGAAGAACTGAATTTAATACTATACAGCACTTTTGACTGGAAATGTTCTTGTGTTACTTTTGCAAGATACACCACACAAGTTGCTCAGTGTTATTTAGACATGTCAAGTTCCAGCATGGTTTGTACCCAGGAACGTTTTTACATTTGACCTTTGGACAGCCTAGATATTAATTTGTCTTTTACAAGCAACACCTCTTCAACGCACATGAAGACTTTGACTCAGAGGTCATCAGTAATTTTTTGAGCCTGCATCTTATGATGGAACCTCTGTTCTACAGCCTGTAAATGTGGCTCATCTTGTGACAGGCAAATACTAGACATGTATAGGACTGTTATTTCTCAACTACAATCCTCAGGAGTCCTGAAAGTACTGTGCAGCGTTTAGTTGGTTCATTGGAGGAAAGGGTTAATAACAAACAAGCACATGCAAAACAATCTGTTGTTGAATGTTTGTCATCAAGAGAAACCTCAGAAAAGTTGAATGTTTTGATCAGCTTGAAAATCCATTCTCATATCTTAACAGAATCTAAAAGGATGAGACATTTTGAGCAAAACTGGAAAATTGTTGAACCTGTAGAGCATGTTTTCTTGTGTGCGTTTTGATGTACTTAAAGCCGCTTGTGCATGCTCTAAATAATTTAGAGACTGAAGAAATGATCAACGGTCACTTAAATTTATTTGTTATTGAGGATAAACTGGATGCTGTTGCACTGATCTGTGTAGATAATGTGGTGTATTATAGACCTTACAATGGGCAATTTTCAAATGGCACTAATGACAAAATGTAGATTGTCCAATATTGTAGTTTTGTATATCTTTATGCGCTGTTTATTTGTGGTGTATCTGCTGTTTGAATACAGAGTATTTTGAACACTGTCCTGTTGTTTCTTTTAATGGGTAGAGTGTCTGTAGCTGTGAATACATTCTAATTAATTGTAGCAGTAGAGATATCAGAGATTAATGGGAGTTTATTGTAATCTGGCTAGTATTGATGATTTGACTGACACTAGTGTTAGTATTAGACAATCAACACTATTCAGTGTTAAATTTTTAAACACCAGGGGTAGTGTAAAGTACTACCAACACTATTTGGTGTTAACTTTTAACACCTAACACCAGTGTAGAATATTGTTGACACTGGTCAGTGTTAGTCAGTGTTAATCTTTAACTCTGTACAGTGTTAAAATAACACTGGGTCATTGTTAAAAATATAACACTTTGAAAAGTGTTAATTTAACACTCAAAAGAGTGGACACATATAGACACTTTTCCAGTGTTAAATGTAACACTCACAGTGTCAATTTTACACTAGTGATTTTGCTGTGTACTGAGAACTTGTGCTGATCAGCTAAGTGGGATTTTTCACCATATTTTCTCACTTTCTTTAGAGCTACAGACGGTACCTAAGATTTGGAAACATGCTGTCATTGTTCCTATTGCTAACGGCAGTTTTCCTAAGGTATTGAATGATTTTAGGCCTGTGGCTCTGACTTCTTTAGTGATGAAGTCATTTGAGGAGATAATTAACAAGGAGATTTTAATGCATGTTGAACACCATCTTGACCCCTTCCAGTCCGCCTATAGAGCAGGAAGAGGTGTGGAGGATGCTGTTGTCACACTCCTGCATCTCTTGTATAAGCATCTTGAGGCGCCCCCACACCCATGCAAGATTATTATTTGCTGACTTTTCATCGGCATTCAATACAATTCAACCCTTCTTACTTGCTGACAGGCTTTACAATCATTTCAAGCTTGACACAGTCTGGTCGGCTGGGTGACAGACTTTACTAATAGGTCACAATGCGTGAGGGTGAATCATGTGTTTTCTGATGTGCTCTCCTCCTCTACTGGATCACCCCAGGGTTGTTGCCTGTCTCCCCTTCTGTTCATTCTGTACACAAATGAGTGTCGCAGCAAATTCACAAACAGACACATCCTGAAGTTTGCTGACGACACAGTGATCGTCAGTCTTCTAGTGGGGGACGAGTCAGGCCATGGACAGGTTGTAGATGATTTTGTGAATTGGTGTGAT